TCAGTAGGAGGAGAAGGGGGAAGAGGAGGAGGCGGAGGAGGAGCAGGAGGAGGGTGGTAGAGGAGGCGGATGCGCAGGTGGAGAGGAATACTGACGATGAGGACGAGGATTCTGTTGCGGGGGCCTCTTCTTGTACCATCGCAGGGGCCCATACAGAAAATCGCCGCGATTGAACGGGCCAGGCGACAGGCGGCCTGGGCAGGCGGACGCTGGCGCCATCGTGGCGGCCGCGGGCGAGGAGGACCTGCGGGTGCGGCGGCGCAGAACTTGCTGGGACGAGAGCTGGCGGGGGTGGGCGTCGAATGGCAAGAAGACGTCATGTCCGCGCGGGCTTCTTTGGGTCCGCGCCCGGAGGCACCGCCATGGGGGTTCCAGCACCGACCCAAAGACACGCGCAGACCTCCGAAAGTTCACTACGATTGTCTGTTTTTGGTTCTGTTAGAGTGATGCCCAATCTGCTCGTCACTCTCTACAATGACAGATGATGAATACTACTCTCCTCTCACACCTGACTTTGTCTGGAAGATGTCCCGTCCCCTCCAATGCGATTTTCCGATACTTCAAATAGTGCTTCCACTACAACGTGAGCCTCGTTTTCAGTTCGGCGTTTTACCCCCTTTGTTCAGAATGGCTCTCGCGCAAGTGCGGGCCCTTTTTTCTGGTTCCGAGTAACGCTTCATCGTTGTTGCCCACCTCCTTTTCCCCTGCTCCGCCTTTTCCAGGACCTCTTGCTCCTCCCGCTCCTTCCAGTCCAGCTCCCGCTGCTGCTGTTCGTCCTCGTCGTCGTCGTCCTCCTCCTCCTCCTCCTTCTTTCACATCCTTTCCCATCCTCCTCCTCGTCCCTGTCCGATTGCGCATAACTCGATTGGTCTGTTTGCGAGTTCCAGGTCCGTTCTGACACGCGTCGGCGGATAGAGAAAACGTAGCGCAGTGGGAAGGTATGGGTGGGAGCGGTAGGATGTCAGATATGGCACGAGCGCGCCCAGCTTGCCTTCTGCCTCTCTGGCCGAGAGGCTGCAGTGCTGCGGTGGGCTGTGGGTGCCCTCCCCCTTCACTCCCCTCGCCTCCCCTCCCCCCCCTCGTTTGCAGTCTGGGTTCTGTTTTCGGACGGCTCCCTACTCGATGGCTCGCTCGCTCCCCCCCCCTCCCCTCGTTCCCTCCTCCCCCTCCCCTGCCCTGCCCCCTGCCCCTGGTCCGTCCTGGTCGTCACAGCCCTGCTGGTCCAGCTGCTCCTTCCCCTGTGTCGTTATCTTGCGCGCGCGGTATCACGAAAGTAATGCGTTGCCAATGGCAGAGCGTCGTTCTTGACAGCGCCAGTCGGCCCCAGTGGGAACATCTGGTGTTGCAGGGGCAGTGGCTAGTCCTGATGGGGAAGCTTCTTTACACCAGCACACTGCTCACCACCCACCAAACCACCCCAACTCAACCCGAAGGCCTCAATTTTCCCTCCATTTCCAGAGTGGGGGGGTCGGGGAACATTGAAAAACACATATGGAACCCGTACCCCCCCCAACCCGAAATTGGGGTCTTCGGGTTGGGTTGGGGTGGTCTGGTAATTAGGTAGTCAACTGCCGACACGCTGGAATGCGTGAACCAGTTGGCCTGGGTATGGCAAACGAGACCCTGCCCCTATCCCCTGCTGGCCCTTCGCGCATGCGGCCCCCTCCTGCCAGGGCCCTCCTGCGCGGGCTCCCCGGCGCGTGTCGTGGGCCCCGCGCGCACAGGAGAGGCTCGGGCTCGGACCCACCTCCCCTCCCCATTCCCCTCCCCTCCCCCTCACCACCCATTCCCTCCCCTCCCCCTCTCCTCCCCCTCCCCATTCCCCTCCCCTCCCCCTCCCCATTCCCCTCCCCTCCCAATTCCCCTCCCCTCCCCTCCCCATTCCCCTCCCCTCCCCCTCGTCGCCACCCACCAAAGCATCCCAACCCAACCCGGAGGTCCCAAGTTTCCCTCCCTTCCCAGCGGGGGGTGCGTCGGGGAACACCGAAGAACCACATGTGGAATCCGCCCCCGCCCTCAGCCCGAAACTGGGGTCGTTCGGGGTCGGCTGGGCGGTCTGGTAGGAAGTCATTCCCCCCCTGCCCCTGCCACTTCCCCCCTTCACTCGGGCTCGAGCTCGGGCACCCCCCCCGCTCCCTGCCCCTTCACCTGCTCCGGGCACCCCGCAGGGGGCTACGCAGGTGGCCTCGCTCCGCGCTCTAGGCCGCCTCGGCCGGCGAGATGCCCTCCTCCAGGGGGGCGCCGAGAGCGCGAGGGGTGGGCGCTCGGCGCCCCGCGCGGCGTCGAGAGCGCGACCTCTGGCGACCCGGCCTCCTTCCCCGCCCCCTTTCCCTCCCCGGGGTCTCCAGGCGGAGGAGGAGGAGGAGGAGGAGGAGGAGGAGGAGGAGGAGGCGGAGGAGGAGGAGGAGGAGGAGGAGCAGGAGGAGGAGGAGGAGGAGAAGGAGGAGGAGGAGGAGGAACTGTGAATGTGTGTGTGTGTGTGTGTGTGTGTGTGTGTGTGTGTTTGAGTGTGTTGGGGGGAAGGGGGTTGGAAGAACGGAGGAGGGAGTGTGGGATGTGTCTGGCTCCCCCCTCCAATGGCGTCGCGCCAAGCAGTCAACGTCCGCAGTCGGTCGCCCTCGTCCCCATCACCCCCTGCCTGGCGTCATCCAGGCCGTTGCCCGTCCCCTCTCCAGGCTCAGCCTCACTGTAGGCCCTGTCCCGACCACTCCAGACCCCTTCCTGCCGCCTCCCTCTCCTTCCTCCCCTCCTCTCCGCCGCCTCCCGCCTGCCTGCCTCCCTCCCTCCCTCCCTTTCTCCCTCCCTTCCTCCCTCCCTCCCTCCCTCCCTCCCCTTCTGCTGCTCCCGTTCCCGAGACCACCCACCCTCGGCGAGGATCGCCGCGCTGCACGCTTCGCGGCCTGGGCCGGAGAGCCGGCCTCCGCCAGGCGGCGGCGCGCGAGCGCCCGCGGACGGCCGCGCCTCGAGCTCCGCGACGCGAGGGGCGTGAAGCTTGAGAGCGTGGCCCAGGCTCCCGGCCGCTCCCCGGCCCGTCCCCAGCGTCCCCTCCCCCGCCTCCCGCCCCACGCACTTCGCGCCCGCCTCCTGGCATCAGACGTGGGGGCCCAAAGAGTAGACGCCACCACCACGTCGCTTCCTCCTCTCTCCTCTTTCCAGCGAGAGGGAGGGGGGGAGGCCGCGGCGCCCGAGACATCCTGCGGAGCCGCGGGATCTCAGAGATTCTCGATGTATCCTCACCCGGTCTTGCCCCTCGCTCTGGCTTCGTCTTGAACCCGTGGGCGGGGCCGGCAGGGAGCACTCCTGCGCGGGGGAGCTGCGCGCGGACGGCTCCGGCATCTTCTGTCACCCGTGCGGCGCCTGGATATCCACTGCGGAGCCCTACGACCACCGCGGCACCTCGGGGGGATGGGGCGCGGGGCTCCGAAGAAGGGGCCTGCACACCATGGCTGGCCAGGGTCACCCTGGGCCTCTGGCTGGTGCATGCGAGGGCGCTCCTGGCCTGGATCAGGAGGGCGTCAAGCACAGCAGGGCCCAGGGTGGCTCGGGGATGGCCCTGGCCAGGCCTGGCGGCGGTGTATCGCTGCCTTCTGCGGGAGGGCAGCGGGGACGAGGGGCGCTGGGAGCGGGGCGGGCCAGCGCTGCGGGTTGGTGGAGGCTGCGACGGTTGTGGGGGCGGCGGCGGCGCCGCCGACACAGCCCGTGGCCACGGCGCGCACTCGTTTCCCCCGCACGTGTGTGGATCGGGGGTGGACAGAACCCTCAACAGTGACACGTCGAGTAGTGAATGATCCGTTTTCGGTCGTTCTCACTAAACCACGTTTTACGAAAGGGGGGTCTGTCCATCCCCGAGTGGATGTGTGATACCAGCTGCTCCTCCGTCTCCGCCCCTCGTCCTCCCCTGCCGCACTCTCTGGCGCCCCACTGTTCGCCGCGGAGGATTGCTCAGCATGCGGAAGCGCTGGCATCCATGCGGTGTCTGGAAGCCTCTTTTCATGCAGTGGCCTTCGGTCCACCCCGCCACCGTGCCCGGGTTTGGGCGAGAGGCCTCTTGGATGTTCGTTAGTATCGTCTGCGAGGCCTCCTGGGGGCCTTCTGGAAACAGTTTTGCGGTCACTGGGGGCTCCCACCTCCATCGATCCGCCCCCCATTAATCTTTCCACTGTTGCTTCTCTCATTCCGCCTTCCGTCCATCTCCCCACCATTCCTGCGGCATCACCACTGCTCCCTCATCTATCCATCCCTACTCCTGGCCTCCCTGAAGCCCTCCACCCATTCGTCTTTCCTCATTCCTCCCGTTCACTTCCATCCCTCGCCATAAATTCCTCTATCAGTCCATCCGTGAGTCCACTTCCCTGATCCATGCAATTTGCTTGTGGATCGTTTCTGGACGGGTCGGTTGGGTACGCGAAGCATCACACGTTCCTCGCTGGGAATACGCTGGACCACGGCCCGCATGCCCACGGGGCGGAGTAGAAGGAGGATGAGGAGGAGTAGTAATAACATTATTAGTAATAATAGCACTTATGATAACACTGATAATATGAGTAATAAGCACACTTTGACGAACACTCGTACGAATAAGACGATCACAAATAATAATACGAACAATGCTGATACTACTAATGAGAGAGTAACACGATTACTAATTCAACGTCATAATAGTTATAGTACGAACACGACTAATAATAGTGATACGACGACTCAGAGTAAGAATACTAACAGCAACATTATTAACACTATTTATACTACGAAAAACCAGGCGACACACAACAACACCAACGCTAATCATACTACTAATACACATAAGAATGCTGTGGCACACATGAGTAATACTAAGACTACGGCTGACACGACTAATCCGAATCATACTACACGTCATGACAATACTCTTCCTACTAATAATTCGAGTAATCATCACAAGAAGACGAACCATACTTATAAGAGGAGGAGAAGGTGGAGAAGCAGGAGGAGGAGGAGGAGGGGGAGGAGGAGGAGGGGGA